TTAGGTAAGCATCCTATTGTGCCTGTCATCATACATGTCAATCTCTACATAAATTGGGAGTCTAAACCAACAGCAGGGAAAGAATTAATTTCTGAGAAGCGTGGGCCAAAATAACATTTACGCCTGTCAACCACCAACACAATCTCGCATCATTCCTTTACTCAAGCTTAAAGAAAAAGCATTCGGCAAGCTTAAAATAATTCAGAAACATTTTTTCTATATTGTCAGCATCTCAAATTTTGTTCAAACAGAGCCTCTAGTCAAAAAAAATCACAAAGTTTTGCTGCATAAAGTTGAAGGGAAATTTATAGGACTAAACTCTGCATAATGTGAAAGTCTCCTCCTCAGTATACACAACGTTACTAGATTAGTCAGCCCCAGAAGGTAAAGACAGAAGTGAATATTCACAGATACCCTTGACTATCCTGGATCTGCAGAGGTTACAAGACCTTTGACTGTTTAACAAAGGAATAGCACTAGCAATAAACCACCACAAAGGTTCTTTTGTGTGAATAGGATCACTTAACTCAATGCAGACCTTTACGTGACACAGGAAAGTACAGCAGAAAATGAGTTACTTTTCTTTTCAGTACAGAGCAGGGCACTATAAAAGCAGCTTTTACATTTATTTCAGATCTTCTGACACAGAAGCAGAACTAAAAGAGGCCCTTTATACAGTCATTTGGCAGTCCAGGTGGCCTGGCCACGCAATGATTCCGCAATGATCATTTTTTCTCAGGATGCCCCTTCTTTGTCCTTTAACGTTTCAGTTCATGTAGGAGGCTCAATGACACAGCACCTGCCTACAGTTGCTTCCCCAGTTTGCTTTTTTAGGCTTTCCATTTCGGAAAGTGTTAACCCATTTGAAATAGCACATTCCTGCAGTAGCCTTTGCTTTCATTTTTCTCCAAAGATTATAATTGTTTCTTAATGCAGCACCTTGGGCAAGGCAACAATATTCCATAAACTACATAATTCTGTTATCTGAGAGACTTTCTGACTGAAATAAATCCCAGTAACTGCTTGCGTATACCAAGGACAGTAAGCTCCAAGCTTCAAACTTATGCCTGCGATCATTTTCCAGGAAGGCAAAGCCTATTTCAAAGCTGTTGTTTCTTGATGGCAGCATTTATCCAGGAAGCAGGAAACAAATTCTAGGATCTCATCAATCAGTTGGGGTCTGATCTCTCAGTAGCTGGACAAATGTCCAAAAACTGGGTCTCTTCACACCTGCTTCTGCTGGAGCTGAGCCACTATGAACAGGGAAAGCAGATTCAGGGGTGGGGGGGAGGGGAGAGAGGAGTCTCTCTCCATACAGGGTGCTGAGGTTTAGCTCATTTTAGCAAATTTCAATCATCTCCATGATGCTGCTTAAGACCCTTCCAAGGATTTAAGATGCTTGAGGCCTGATACGGTCCTTCAGTGTTAGGTCCTAACATCTGGTTATTTAGGGAAAATTCAGATAGTGTGAACACATCCCTAAGTTACCTCTTTGGTTACTGTTCTATAGAAAATGAACCAAAGCCATCAAAGCAACACTCAGAACTCCTCCCACTAGCAACTATGGAGACTAGGACACTGGAGTCACTACTTCTCAGTTTTACAGCAAAGAATACCTTCTTGCACAGAGCAATCATGTTTTGGGGAACTTGTACACTCCTTTGGCTCCTTTCGTTATGTGACGTTAGAGCAGTTTCAACTTCATTCATTTCAAATCTGAATAATCTCACACTCCTCCACAGATGAAGTCTTTCATGCCTCTTCTTTGCATTCTGACTTGATGTCCATTTGCTCTCTCCGTATTTGCTGCTTGTGTCGGTCCTGCCTTCCTTTCACGTCGCTGAGGAAAGCGGAGCCGGCGTACCTTGCAGGCTGTAGCCACTTCACCAAGTCTGGGCTAATGTTTCAGCAAGGGCAGTAGCCAGTAGAAAGCTTTTTTGAGAGAGAGCCTTGAAACCTACAGGCTTCTCCAGGGCAGGAGCTGCCAACACATTGCAATACTGGTGCTGGTGGCTTTTCACTGCCTCAGGGAGAGAAATATTACCCTCTTCAAGTGCCCAAGGTTGGGAATATTCCTCTCCCTCCACTGCACACTCCCTTTATGAGCAACACTTGTGCTCCCTCTGGGGCAGGTTTTCATAGTCCCTTCCACTTCTGTCTTGCACAGGCATAAGAAAAGGACACGGGAGCAGCATCTATCCAGGCAAACAGAGCTGCCACAATGAAAACAAACTCTCTCTTCCTGATTTTATACTAAAAAGCTGATTCTAATATTGTTTTTTGCCTACGAGACCCCTGACATGCGCCATTACCGGAGAATGGTATTTCTGATCTTCTCACACACCCTATTCCCTCTGCACCCTTTTCCCTGGCCTTGCAAGGAAGAACTTCCCACAAGTTTTTCAACCACGAGCTATTGCAAAAGCTCATTAGGTCACCACAATCAGTGACAGCTACAGAAGTTATGTGACTCTCAGAGCACCTGAACAACACAGGCAGAGTTCCCGTTTGCCGAATAACCACCGGCAGCTCCAACACCTTATAGCTGAGGGGGACACTCCCACGGAGGACTCCCGTGCAGGCCCAGTGTGCTGTGATGCCAGGATTCATACTGGCATTTGCACCAGTCATACAGGGGAAACTGGACACAAAGATCTTATCAAGGATTACGAATTACTCATGGGCATGGACCCCACTGTCTCCACCATAGCAGCTCTCCCTGAAAACAACTATTCATTCGGCCTAATGGAAATGGCACACTCTTGTTCAGGAAAGAAAAAAAAAAAAAAAGGTCAACATAGAAATCACCCTGGTCAATACAGAATGTGGCTTTTGGATTCCACAATCCCAAGAGCTACTCATCTCATCTGTCAAAAATTTGATCTAGACTTCTAGAATAATCTTCTCAACACACTTTAAGGACAAGAGAGAAAGGTTCTTCCAGAGTCCAATTCATTTAGCCGCAGACACACGTCTAACAGGCAGGATGCATCAGTCTGTGGACATGGTGCGCTGTTTCCACAAAACGTGGTGACCAGAGAGCTAGCTTTAGGTGGCCTACCAAAGTCATCTGAACACCATGGCCTTGCAGCGAAAGCTGGGAATGTTGCAATTCTGTTGCATGCAGCTTATAATCCCCTTTCCAATGTAGTAAAAGAAAAAAAAGAGCAATTTTGAGTATTAAGGACCCAGAGTCAGTGAATGTTTTCAAACCTGGTTTGCTTACCTTGCTGTTCATAGGTAGGAACTAACAAGGGGTGAGAAAAGAAAGAGACTTTTTTTTCATATCTGTAAGAGGTGGAGCTATGCAATACAGATGGAGGCACTGAAAAAAATATGACAAATAGAATCTCTAAACATTTCTCTGCAATTTATAGTGTTGGATAATTCCATGTGTTTGAAGTAAAGGAAGAATCTTAGGGCATACAGATGCCATGGAGCCTTCTCAAATACTCCTTGAAACAGTGAGGTGACAAAATAATTTCCTTTTGAGATTTTCCTTATCCAAATATATCGCTCTTCTGGACAGGAATGACTCCTTAACAAGGACAGTCAGTGAGAGGGTATCAAATTAGGAAATAATGTAAATTAATCTTTAAATAAAAGTTTAATTCACTCTTACTTTACAGAATATTTAAAAGCACCTTATCATTTTACTGTCAATTCTAAAAAAGACCAACAAGAGACTGGAATGATTTTAGCTGGTAAAATACAGGAAGCCTTGTGAACAAAAGGACAGAAGCTAAGTGAAACCATAGTAATATTTTGTACACCACAACTATAATCAGAATCTGGCATTGATTTATTCAAATTTTGCTTTCTTGGAAGCAAAGCTTACACGTTCGTAAACATCAAAATAAACATCGCTTAATTTTACAATTTGCTAAACAAACATTTTTTTACCCTCAAGGGCATATGCAGAGCCATCTATTTGTCTCGCAGTTCTCCCATTGACCTATGCTTCAGTATTTCTTTAAAACAATTGGTTGCCTTCCGAATTTAATGGTGCTTAAAAATTTCTTCCAATGTTGTGCAAATCATAGGCAAGGCCATTTTGATGCGTGCCCTTCCTTACGCAGTTTTTTGATCAGTACTTAACTAATGCAACTGTGAAAAACTATACATTTTCAGGAAAATGTTTTGATTTTGGTCCTCTAGTTAAAGACCTTCTATAACTGAGTTGTTTACATGGATTTGAATCACAAGCATGTACACAGCAAAACCACTATACCAATGTTTCTTGGTCTATGCATAAAAAGTATGTCTTCTACTTACACTGAAACATACAAAAAATAAACTACAAAAATTGTTTACACTTGATTTCAGCAAAAAAAGCTTTCTTCAAGAAAAATGATTCTTCTTTTTTCAGCCATCAAAAAAGGAATGCAAGTAAACAATAAATACATGTGCTTTCTCCATATAGACATATTTACACTTGAGTCTTTGGCTTATGTTTAAGTTTCTTTATAAAGATCTTTATGTGATCCAGCCATCATTGCACATTAAAACAAAATAAGCCAGGTTTTTTTTTTACTATATATAATATATATATGCAACACTTGAAACGTATAAAGAATGAACCTTACCATCAATTTGCACTGTTATTGTACTTTAACAATGTATCAAAAGAAAAAAGAAAAATTAATACCATATAGGAAATATTGATACATGCAACAGATGGTCGCTCTACTGTAATTGAGAGACGGCTGCATATACAAACACTGAAAAGTCCTAATTTGCGCAAATCTCTTCTGACTCTGGTTTTCATTAAATAGTATTTATGTGGCACTAAATGTTGATACTGTATACAAGCATAGAAACAGATTGAGTTCCTTTATTAAGATACACAACTTCATAAGAAAAATACTTTGCATTTAAAATTTAAAATCCCTCCCACCCCCCCTCTTGCCCCAAAATCTTTCTTCACAGGATCAAGAACTGTTGTCAAAACAGCTTATTGAGATTCATGTATTTGGTGAACTTTGTCACATCCATTCTGACTAAGAGGATTCCAGGTACTCCAGCGCAACATCGTAGCAGAAGCGATATTGC